ACAGTTCGAAGAACTCTTGAGCGAGTCAAGAGTTCGAAGAAGTTCGTTTTCTTCTACAGGTATGAACTCTTGACACCTCAAGCGTGCGAAACTTGATATCACCTCAGGGATCGAATGAGGTTTCGTTCATCGTTATATAACCATAATGCATTTTATATCTCCGTTTTCAAGCTTTATTGCATATTAATTAATCTAACGCTTGTAGATTTTCTATTTTCTATTTTCAGTCCATCCTAATAATATTGATAAAAAGTTATTATGCGCTTTAAATTGAAAGAATAAGTAATTATAGGAAATTTGAAGAGCAGTCTTAAGAATTATGTTGCAATTAAATGTCGGCTCCTCGCAGCTTATTCAAGAGTTGAATTTGTGGCCCACAGCTGCGACCCTGTGCGCCAATCCGCACTGCACATAATTTCCCCATGATCGACGTAAGATGTATTATTAGCAGGAAAATTATCTAAATACTAGAAGAAAGAACAGACATACAATTATTAAGCACATAATAAGTGCAGATTGAAATTAGGAGAAAACATGAATGAAACTATAAATTTCTTGAATATAATGTCAGGTATAGGGATATTGCGAATAATAAATTATTTTTCTCCTTTCAACCGCTGAAAAAATTTCACAATGCGCTTCGATACGAATTTCTCAATCCACAGGTTGGACGGAAGCTCAACGAATGAGAAAATATTAAATGCAATTCTAATATTCGCGTGCAAAGCAAATGAAATGCAGCCGATTCGAAATCAGCAGTGATGAAGTTTTTGGATTAAATTCAAATTTAAAGCTGTAGCAGTAAAAGCAAAATTCACTCATTAACCCGGTAGCAGTATTTTTTTTACGAAATCGAGTGTCAGTCAGTTATCAGAAGCGTATTGAGATTCTAAAATATAACAGCACATGGATATACAAAACAGGTCTCCCTTCACTCATGCCGTAACGTAATTCTAGGACCGACTAGGCTTCAGCCGATAAATCATAACGCTCAGTGCAAAGTTTTTCTGGGTCTGCTTGCCCACCCGATCGAAATCACCCTATACGGTCAGAATCTCCATTCCGACCTCATATACAGGGTCCGCCATATTTATGGCAACGCATGTTTTTTGTTATTTCTCAATGAAACAAATAGGTGCATTGTTTTTTTTTTCTTATTGGATGAGCTAGTAGCCAAGAATTACCTAAACAATTCTCAGACATATTTATTCAATATGACCACCCTTACTTTTAATGACAGCCTCCAATCTACGCGGGAAAGCTTCACAGGAGACATCGCAGCATTTCTTGAGGGATCAAGGCCCATTCTCGTGTCAATTTAAACTTCAAACTATCCAAAGAATCATAAGGTGTTCTGCAGACCCTACTCTCTAAAATAGCCTGCTCAGAAAAGTCGAGAGGATTCAAATCAGGGCTTCTTGAAGGCCATTCATTTTTGCTAATGAACGCTGGGATGTGACCCTGAATCCAGTTTTGGGTCATGTTTGAGCCATGTGATGGGGTAGAGTCTTGTGGAAAACTCCATGGTGAGCCGTTGAAGTGTTTACGGGCCCAAGGTTACAACACAGCTTCCAAAATGTCCGAAATGTATCGCTGACTGTTCAATTTCACTCCTGAGGGGACAAAAACGAGTGGGGACCTCCCATGCAGTGGCGGTTACCGGCGGCCCAAACCATCACGGACATGGGATTTTGACGTCGTGTTGCTGTTCTGGTTGCCACAGATCCATCCCGACTCCAAACTCTGTCATTTTGACGGTTAACGCTTTGTTCAATGTAAAAATTTTTCTCGTCACTGAACACCAAGTTGGGCAGCGTGCTATCCTCAATAAGATCCAGAATGTGCTGGTATTTTTCGAGCCTCTTTCGTTCATGACGGTCTGTTAGTTCATGCCTTGTTTGCATCTTGTAAGGGGAGGTTTTGAGGTCATCTTTGAGGACTCTACGCATTGATGTCAGACTGACTCCTGCTTCTGCAGCCAATTTTGCAGCTGAGCAACGAGGGTTTCTCCTCAACTTTTCCCTCGTGTTTTTGACCAATTGTTTTGTTCGGACACTTCGTTTCCTTCCTTGACCAGGTCGATCGCATGTTTCACCAGTTTCCTTGAATTTTTTTACTACCGCCCACACAGTTTCACGACGAATTTGGAGCTTTTTTGCAATGGCTGAATTACTCTCGCCCTTTTCATGAAGGGTTACAATTGCATTTCTATCTACTGCCATAAGTAATAGTAAATTTAGACACCTTAGACTTCTGCAATATAAAATAGATGAATTAATATATGATATTAAGCTTCATTATAAAAGAAAAGTCTCCTAGAAACCAATTTATTTTATATAGCAAACATCCGTTGCCATAACTATGGCGGACTCTGTTTGGTCGCCTGAGAGTAAAAGAAGGCTTGGTCAAGCTAAGTTTTACATAGCCCTTTAAGCCCTGGTGTGACGAATTCGTCACACAGAAAATAAAAGCTTCTACCGAGAGTAATTACAGGTTTAGAGTCTAACCGCGAGTGTGACGGTAGCGTCACATGTTGTGAACTCGTTCGAGTAAGGATTTTACACAGTCGAGTTTTGAATTTTAAAAGTTTATTTAATTAATGAAAACAGAACAAGGAACTTTGGGAGGAAGCAGCAACGACGCATCCACATATAGTTGAGATTTCATTTATTTTAAATTCATTAAAAGGCTGCAAACTGCTCTTCTGGTAACAGCGCAGAAGTTAGGAAGGTTTTGGTTCCAAAGCAGGCTTAGTTCCGAGCGGGGCAAAATGCGAGGTCTTCTGGTCAAGTCTCCTTAGCGCAGTGAAGTAATCATGACGCCAGATGACGTACACGTGACGTAAAAGAAATATCGTCGCAATGGGAAAAGGCGCATCCACTGCAGGACCCGAAACTTGAATGTTGATACTAGAAAGGAATACAAATTTTATCAGACTTGTCTAAGGATCGATCAGGCAAAACTAATGACACGATAATTTCAGGATTGGCACAAAGATATCAACACATTAAACCAACCTGAGGTTTTTAATGCCCAGTGAATTGATTAATTCTATTTGATGAAGCGAATGAAGAATTTAATTTTAGAAATCCAGAGGAAATCAGTAGGAGGAGTAGGAAGTTGGACGGAAGAAGACAGTAAGAATAGTTAGAGGTTTTACTGCGTGTTGAAAGAAGAATAAAGACTTAAATTAGGATGGCAAAAACCGTAACAGTATAATAAACTGCCGACGCAAATTGCACATGCCCATTTCTTGTAAATNGTACACAGAGACTGCGAACGCGCGCTCCTCTCTCGACCACTGCATGGTCGCAACTGAACTGAGTGGACGAAAAACTTCATAGCCCGCGCACCATATTGCGCATGGCGCCACCTTCCTAGGACTAATGGCCGCCACGTGGCGCGCAATTCAAATAAGTAAGTTCCCGCGCCGCACCCTGTATTTATAAAGCGCTACCTCAGCATCGGGTTACGTGATAAAGGTTGTGAAGGATGAGTAAGACACAGCTGTCTAGATAACATATCTTGATAGATGGGGTGGTTATACATAAGAGTTATGATACAGCGGTATAAGCTACAGTGTCGAGTTGACCGTAAGGTCGGAGAACTCAACCGCGACGCGTTACATCGCGGAGCCGAAGACCACCACTGCCCTGGATGTAATGGACCATCATAATTCCAGCCTTCCGGAACGTAGCCTATAACACTTCTGGACAATCATATCCAGGCCGTGCGTCGAACCAGCCCTCGGTCGAACGGCCACTCGTCGAGGAACGATAAATTTTGGAACAGAACTATGCTATCTGAAACCTAACCTCAGATGCGGTGAGCGTAATATTATGTAATTTAACGATGCCTGCATGGTAGTCATATTCGATCCGCGGCCTGGTGGTGCACGGCAGGTTTTATGCAAGGCCGAGGAGGACAAAGCCAATTGATTCACGGCTGATTGGTGGATGTCCGGAGAGATCCAAGGCGTTCGATTCATGGCTTTTTGGGGCACAAAATTTGTGGTGCACGGCTGCGCTCCCATTTAGACTTCGGCTTCCGCCCACAACTAATGTCTTGATCGCGGGATCTATCACGTGATGTCTTCCAGATGCTGACTCATGTCTAGTACTTTTCCATCAATCTCTATCAGGTCAAGTGAATATTACGTCTCAATTACATATGATCTAATCATATAATATAATTATAATGATTATAATGAGACTCCAGATTGTCACCGGACACGGACCCTTAAATTTCGACATTCGACAACCCAAGATTTGGGCATTTGGACCAACTACCTCCATATAGATGTAAGCCACATTATTTCGAATAGATTTTTGATCCTTCTTATGCTTCATTATATTTATATTAACATAAAAATTCCCTGTATCGGGGACTACCATGATTTTTCAGAGAACTTTTTGTCTTGTGTTCCACATGCTTCTGTCTTGTAATCCACGAGACGCCACCTGGTGCCCATACAGTTGCCAAAATTGAGTGGACGAGCATGCCTGCGTTTGAGTCTCAGAAGTAATTACACAATAATTATCAGAACATTCGCACTGATTGAACTGCAAGCAGGGTAATAATCATACAACCTGCCGTCAAAAAGGAGTCCAATGCTTCCTTTGATGCTTGGTTCCTAGACTGTTGGTTTCAAAGCACCTGTAAGAATTGAATTATTTCTGTAATTTTAAGAAAATTTGAAAAATATAAGTTGTGCGTATCGTATTCTCTTGTTTGTTGCCTTGGGCACATGTTATTGCAATTAACGGAATTAAAATGCGCTTTTGATCCACAAGAAGAAAAATTCAAAAGATTGATGTTGCGTGTTCGGTCGTTGGATGCTTCACTAGAAAATATTTTTCCTTTGTACAATATTCTTGCTGGTAATAACCATAAACATTGACAAGAGGAACGACTGAAGCTAAAAGACGTCAGAGTTAGCGTTATCAGTGGATAGTGGCGGGCTAGCTATATAACTCCAGCAGCGCTCCTTTTGGCTGCAGAGCGTCGTAGAGACTCGAGTCTCGACGAAGATCATTCAACTTCGAAGTTTTTCTGTCGTTAAGTACTTACCCGAAAATCAATTTGCATCTTCACAATGGTGAGCGATTGTGTTCAGATGGGGGTGTTTCTTCAATTTGCACCATCTGTTATGAACAATTATTTTTGTCATTAATGCCTCCACATTTTGTTTGTAAATAATACCTTATACATTAAGTATTTTTACTTCCATAAGTCTGGTATTAAGGACACGTATACCCGCTGTTTTGGGTATTTCGGAGATCATTTATCATCGCATTTCGCCGGAGATCATTCACCTTCGAAGATTTCGTCGTCAAGCACTTACCCAGAATCATTTCTCATCTCCACAAGGATGAGCGAGTGTTTTCCTTTAAAGGTGTATTTTTCAATTTGCACAATCTATTGTTAACGATTAGGTTTGTCATTTAATATTGTGATATTGAAATGACTTAATATATGGTATAACAATCTTTCCTACGAGGGCGTAGATAATGCTTATAGGCTTCATTCTTAGTGTTTAGCTTCGGCGAAATTGCACTTTTTGCACCTCCGCAAGTCTGATATTAAGGACTCGTATAGCCACCTGTTTACTGTTAAGACAGGCAGAATCAGCCACATGTGAGTTTTAAATATAGTCCAACTACTAAAATATTTGCTGCACTCACTATAGAGCCTTGGTAGTGAGAACAGTCTAAACCCTACTTTGAATTCGACTGGTCCCATTCCTCCCCCATGATTTCTTAAGCGCTGCTAGAATGCTAGCTAGTAAAGGACAATCTATCTATATCATAGTTTAAAGTTCGCTTCGTTGTTTTAAACCACAATTGCTTGAGTTCGAGGAAGAATATCTTTCAGGTTGCGCCCAGCACTGTCATACACATTACTGAAATACAACGGTAACGATTGACAGTCCCTTATTTAGGTACATTTAATGGATCGCACACGCAAATATGCCACGTCTTGTTAGATTTTGACAACTTTTCAGAAAAAAAATTATCACCTTGAAAAATTACGATCACTTCTACAGTATAATTGCAAGTTCTTATGAATCAACCGCGTTACTCCAGCAAGAGTTGAATCTATGCTTAAAAGGCTCGTTGCTCATTGAGAAAGAGTTATAATATTTATGTTTCAGTGTTATTTCAAAGTTTCTACTAAATAACGTATCTCGTGTCCTCGTAGGTTGCCCGAGCATCTCTGCTGCTTCTCCTGCTGGCGGTGAGTCAAAGTCCAGCCAGTGCCACCGACTACGACGTCTGCCCGAACTTCGTCGATTGCCATTGTAGTGACGATGTTAACAGCATCGGCATTTTTAGCGATGATGGTGCCCTAGAATCCTGTTTGTCCTACTTACACGAAAATAAGCTTCTCAGGTTCAAGAAACTGCACCTCTCAATGGCCAATAAAAACCTGAGATTGACTGAAAACTTACTGAAGGATATTCAGTTCGACGAGGTCTTCGTTTACAGGGCAAACATTGTTGAATCCAATGAGAACTTTTTGGGTGCTTCCCGAGAAACGGTTCTGGATATCAATTTCTTTGGCTGCAAATTTGAAGTCTTTCCTAGAATCAATTCCAGTTCACTGGTGCGTTTTGTGACTGAAGAGACGAGTCTTCTGGACATCCCCGGGAACGCCTTCCTCACTCCACAACTGAAGGTCGGTGGCCATCATGAAAGCTCGTATTGATTAAAAATAAAAACAAGTACAAAAATCGTAGAAGTACGAACAAGCCAAGTATTAAATAACATCTCAATTAATATAATTCAGAATTTGAAATTAATTACTGAAATTCTGGGTGTAATTCCATTATAAGTTGAGGTAAAATATTTTGTAATGATCTAGAATTCTAGATCATAATTAATGGGAGGTCGTCAAAATGGTTGTCAGTAATAATTATGATCGTGTTAAACGAACTAATCGATGAGGCTAAACCAGAAGAAATAAGCAACAGTTCCATGAGTGTTTCATATTTTATAGATTTTATTCATGGTCTTTACGTATTTTCAGACACTATTTCAGTGGAAAGTCTTATGTTATTCTTCAAGAACTTGGACTCTTGCAAAGTCTGAGCAGATCGAGCAGTACCGCTAGTAGTTCCATTGTTCTAAAACGAATTGTATATTCGTTTAAAATAAATAAATCTTAAACTTATCAATATCGATTTCACTGTGAATCTATGTTTTTATTTTCACGTTTTTTCTCCAGGAAATCAAGATTCAGGGTGGGACGTCCAACCTGACTCTCAATTCTGGAGCCATGGAGCCACTGTCTCACCTGGAGCAGTTCAACCTTTTCGGCGTGTCAACCGTTCATCTCGCCACGGACTCGTTTAAACTCTCTTCACCAACCTTTAAAATTTTCAACAGCACGGCCAGAATGACAGCCGAGTCTGGAGCATTTTCCGGTACAAAAGTTTAGAAAATATATTAAATTTAGAGTAAAAATCCTCCCAACGACAGACTTTGGGTTCACAATGTTGTTTAAAAAATAAATATTTATAATCATGATTGCTACGTTCAAGGGAAATGTTGATATTTCAAATTTTTGCGAAACTCGTTGACGAGTTCTACATTTCGGCTGACATGCACTCTTGTCTAATTTGGCAGCTGCAACGAGGAAATGATATGCGCCGCCTCGACAAACTTTCATTTTAATTACTTTGTATTATTAAGTATATTCCATAATTATTCCCGTCTCCACAAAGGCTTTACAAACGGGAGTGCGCTGATAATAGTGGATTTCATTGGGCCGTGGACCCACGATGTTTTCTACGATTTGCTTTCTGGAGGTGCAACCATCACCACACTTGGTGGTGAGTGCAACTACTCCGATTTAGAAATTAAAACATGCATGCGGTGTTGTAATTACAACTAAAGGGTTCATCTGCTCGAACTGATTAGAATAAGGCTAAGCTGATACATTGTTTTGTGATAGTTTTAGATTGAAGTCATTCAATTCATGATTCATGTCGAATTTACGAATTCCTCAAAAAAATTATCAATAACTTTACTATTGTCGCCTTGTATTAAAACATACAAGGACAAGGAGGAGTCTCTGGAACTAAGTAATGAAGTTCTTTTGAATTATTAATCGAATTATTTGAAATTACCGACATTATTCCTCGCTCGACCCATTAAACGAGCGGTGGCCTCTAATAAGTGTGCTATAACTCAATGTTTTTTCTTCACAGGACAAAGTTGCCAGTGTGACATGGCCTGGATTCGGTACAGCAGCTTCCTACCCCAAATGGCAACGGTCCGGTGCGTATCAAACGACTTCCAACATCCTTACCCTTTGTCGGCAGAAACTTTCGTGGAGTGCCCTATTGCAGATCTTGACCAGGACATGCTTGCGAACTGCTTCTGAAAAACTCACGCCTGGCGAACTTCATTGTTTGATGTCATGGAAAGCGTATTGAACTCTGTTGATGTTGAAAAGGTGTTGATGACCTTGTTATGATGACGTGAATTATTCTTTAGGAGCAGACAGCCTGTGGTTTGACGAGGTTTCACAACTATCAGCCATTATTTACGCGGCTTAAATCAGAATATTTTGATAACAATAGGCCAGTCGAATTGGCACCCTCAAACGAGCATGTAAACCTAGTGATCACCGTCGTTCAGCGGAAACTACAGTATTCAATCTCGTTAATAATTACTATAGGTATTTTGGTACGAGCAAGTACCCTGTACAATATTTCGTTGGAATGAGTGAGAGTGTACACGGTTCCTTGTGCTGTGCATGTTCTATGTGTGCGTCGTCTAAAGCATGGTTGAAATATGTATTATTTCAACCATGGGGTTGAAATATGTGTTATTTCAACCATGGGGTTGAAATATGTGTTATTTCAACCATGGGGTTGAAATATGTGTTATTTCAACCATGGGGTTGAAATATGTATTATTTCAACCATGGGGTTGAAATATGTATTATTTCAACCATGGGGTTGAAATATGTATTATTTCAACCATGGTCTACAGCACCTAAACTTAACACATGCTCGCTGGAAGTTAGGCTATCAGTTACATGCGTACGTATATGCTGTCTTGCCTGAGGTTATTGCATTACAAGAAATTATTCACTTCTCATATTTAATTCCATTTAAAACCTAAGTCTTTTCTATTAAAGTTTTTGATTTTTATTTCGAAGATTTAAATTGCATAAAATTTTCAATTTTCATATAAAAAATATGTTTTTGTATCCCAAGTCTTGAAAAATCTAATCGATTATTTTCATTTTCCTCGATCGACCTCATTTGGACTTCACCAATTTATTGACCAATTGACTTATGTCCTCGACCTCCCAATCGAAAATGAAGCGAAACTTAGTGGTAGAATAAATATAGTGGTAGAATAAATAGTGGTAAATATAAAATAGAATAATAAATTTATAAATATAATAAATATATAAATGTACAGAATTGAAGACTGCAAAGCTCAACATTTCTCACTAATGAAAAGGTTCAATTATGCCTGAGGCTGGCTTTGCAATCAATAATTATGCATTGTAAAATGTTAAAATAATCACTGTGACGTTGGGATATACCTGGTATATAATCCAGTACGCATTCATATGTAAAGGTGATAAGATATTTAAATTTTTTATTTCTACATTCGCAAATTAACTCAAATTGTAATAGCAGCCACAAATACTAAGAAAATTCCCTTTCAACTGTTAATAAGTCCGAGGACCTTGGTATGAACAATTCGAGCAGCCAAATTTACTTATTTAAAATCCAACCTGATCAAAACATATAGTAAAATTACTAAAAATAATCAATATGAAGCTGTTTTTTAGGGTTTTGTTTGGAAATATGCAAAGCTCTGAAGTACATCAACTCGAAGCGACCAACACTTCGGTTGTCGAACCTCCTACTGAAGGCAGCAACCTCCACCTCGATCCCAAGCTATCAAAATTCATTAGCTTTTTGTCAGTTCATTTTTGGGTTATTCGTTGAGTACAAATTTGTAATGTCCTTCGTCAGAGAAAAAGGGTTGATTTAAAAATGACAGGTTTATCTATTCGTAGAAAATAAACAGTGAAACGAGTCCTTGATTGAAAAATAGGTATGTTTCAATTGTCATGCATGAACAGCAATAGCCTAAATTTTCATTCGTAATAACTTTTTCTATACAATTTATACATTTTACATTATAACACTGGCCAATCAGAAATGATTAGCTGAAATAGAATTCAGTAGGTTGTTTCGCCCACAAGTGGAGGTAGAGGCAACCTACTTCATGCCATCGTAGCCAACTCCTCAAGTCTGAGGGCATGGGGCACGAGTCTGACCCTCAATATAATGAATGATGCGAAATATTATTACCCACGGAAGTTATGTCAACACAAAAGCTCTAAAAATCTCTCTGAAATCACAAGAGGAATAGCAAAAATTGGTATGGGAAGTAATAAATAGCTTTTCTGTCTGAGAATAAAACTAAAGACAAAATTAATAGGAGTGAATTTTATTCCCCCCTGATATTATATCCTACTTAAATTTTTGTTCCTATTTTTATTTTCAAAATTACCATCAATGGTATAAATGTGAGCGGGAGCATGGTTGAAAATTAATAATTAGGAATGTTTATTGTTGATCTCGAACCGGAAGAGCATATAATGAAGCGGCCTGCTACTAAATGCCTCATATGGCATGAGCTCGCACGATGCACTGGTGGAGTTGCCTGCCGCGGGACTTTTCCCGGCTTGACGACGATATTTTTCCGGGATTTCAGGTTTGACGGGACGGGATCAAACGATTTAGCCTTTTTTGTTATTGCGCTTGGCTGGCAAAAGTCTATGATTGTCTTAATTTTTTTTATTATATCAATGTAGATAATGCGATTTGGGCCGTTTAATGATTTAAAATTAAATTAAAAACATTAAATTCATGCTTTGCGAATTAAAAATTTACTAATAAATGCAAATATCAATAAAGGCCCTTTTGGGCCTTTTTGTGAGCTGATCTGGCCGTTTTCTCCTGCCGCCATATGGCAATTATGGAAAATATGAAACTTTCAAACTTCTTGCATTTTTTTTCCTCTCGGAATTTTGTTTTGCTCAAGATGAAATTTTTGTTTTGCTCAAGATGAAATGATTTCGTTTTTTTTTTCATAGTCTTAGAGAAATTTTTCGAAATTTCGTTTTGCTCATTTAAATTTCGAAACGTAACTGTGTCAAAACTTTTGATTAGGTAGTAACACTGGCCAAGTGCCACCTAATTCGGGCTACACCATGTTTAAACCATGTGGTTACATCCAGCTGCCAACTCATACGAATAACCATGGATGACAGAGCTGATCAGAGTGCATCCCTTTTGTAAAGAGTAGTAAATTCAATAGTAATTTCTGTGGTTACAACGTTGTTTTGCGAAACATTAAGCCTTTTTACTGTACGGCACCACAAATTTCACTTTGAATAGGTTTATTAATTCCTTCCTACGTTCCTTAATTATATGATTAATAATATTTCCTACGTTCCTTAAATGGCAAATGATTTTTCAGCAAATTGCCTTAGTCTAGGGAAGGTATTCCATTACTTGGTTCGATTTCTATACTATAAAGTACTTCGCTCCAGTTATGTTAGGCAGTATAATTAATTTCTAGGCATTTTTGATGAATATGAGTAATTTATAGGGTTGACTTATAATATTCATTTTAGTCGCGCAGTGACTATGCGACAGTGCAAACCCATTTCTACCGCATAAATGGGTTTGCGATAAATCAATTTTCATCTTCTGCGTATAAATATTCTACCATTAATACCACCACTTTTTCCAGCTCGATCGAAAAGCTTCATAGTTGTTAGGTAGCAATCGAATCCTAAAAATCGTAGTTTTGACCACAAACCAGCAATATACGATTTTTATTTATGATCGGCGGGTATAACGTATAATTCGCTGTGGCTAGCGGCTAATATGTAGTATTGACGGTATTAGATTGTAAACATAGTGAAATTGATGTAAATTATATTGTCCGAAAGTCTGAAGACAAAATAAGCGCACTATAAACTGTTTTAACTAATTTAAATTCAAAATTTTCTTTATATTTTTAGACGGGGCCGTTTTTGGCCTTTTTGTGAGCTAAGCTGGCCTTTCTATACAGTGCAAGCATACAAGTTGTCCCAGTGCAGGTATACTAGTCGCCAGGTGTGGTTGCCTGCATGAGCCTGCGTTTGAGTTTCAGGATTAATTGTGGACTTGAAATGATTTAAATGCAAGCAAGGCAATAATACTAATCAATTTAACCTGCCTCCAAAAACTTTCAAATAAACTGGCCCACCACGTGCGTGAAAAATATTACCGCGCCTATCTACTAGAACCAACAACAACATAGCATGTTTTACGATTTTTTTAAAGGGGTCATGGTCTAAAAGCGAAAATTTTTGCTCTTTTTCATTCTTTTATCTCGTTTGATTTCTTAAAGCTGCAGAATAGACGCGTCGGAGGCAGTAAATCGCATGAAAGTGCGTGCTTAATTTTTTTGCGTGAGGTTCCTTTGAATAAAAATGATTCATAAATAAAAAAATAATTTAAGAAAGATTACTTTGAGAAAAATTTTTTTAAAGCATATTATTCGCGTTAAATTGGACAATAATGAATCATGCAGCGCATGATGGTACCCTCAATAGCATATTCGTACCTTAAATTTTCAATCCATTTCATTTACTTAGCTCTCCAAGATAATTGAAACTGCTATTTATTTGCCTCATTTGAAATTTATCTTCTCTTTTAATTTTCAAACTACAAAATTGCGAGAAGTATCATTCGGTCCGTAAAAAGAATATCTACAGGCTAAACAAGCATTTTTTCTGATTTATATATTGTTTGGATTATATATCGTAAAGGTAGAGGAGAGGGGGTGGGCGGGGTGAAAAATTGAGAAAATCATCTTAAAAAAATAAAAATAGGAAAAAAATAGCCTCTAGGGTCGATAGATATTTGCATTGCGAATATTCCTATCGAAGTTGTAGCTCGTAAATTATAAAAGGAGATTCATACACTTACAATAATTGAAAAACTCCTTTACGCTTCTACGAAAATTTTGAAATAAACCAAGAAATCTGCTTGTTGTATTTCCTTTTTTATTAATTCGTACACGTGAAGCCGAATTAAATCGCTAAATCCGCAACAATAGAAACACAAACGATAAATATTTATTATTTTTGCTAGCATCTCCATGAGCTGCTACACTGCACATGTTACTCCGAACACCTAATAAATAATGTACCATAAAATTATATATAAATAATAAATAATTATAATAATAATCCTCCCTCCGAAAATAATACCTCCTCCCTCCGAACACCTCCGAAAATAATTCTATAGAATTATTATTTCGAATTATAGAATTATTATTTTATATTTTCCCAATAGAATTATTTTCGAGCGCTAGCTGGTTTGTCCTTGGAAATTAGTTAATTTTTTCGCTCGTAGTGACTAACGTAACGCATCTCACGTTACGATCATTCATCTTCGTAGATTGTTATATTCAAGTCCGTCTTCAAATTCCACTCAATAAATTCGCACTTCGACAATGGTGAGCGAGTGTATAATCTTAGAGATGTTAATTTAATTTGTACAATCTGTTATTAAGAATTATGGATATAAAGTTACAGCTTAAAAATAATAATTTGAAATTATATATTCATCTTCACTATGTTTGCTTAGATGCGTTTCTACAGGTTTCTTTTTTGTTTTTAGTTTCGGTATTTTTTGTTTTTTAGTTTCGCTAAAATCGCACTGTTTATCAACTACATCTTTAGGCTTGCATAAAGCAAGTATTAAGTGACACGTATCTCTGCTCTTAACTGTTTTCTCAATGGAGAAGATCGGCCACAACTCGGCCACATGCAAGTCTTACAACACTCCAAAATATTTGCTGCACGTTCTGCTTAATTGAGTTTATCTCTGCAGTTTAACTGTCCTTCTAGCCTCTGTTGTATGAACAGTCAATACCTGATAATTGAAATTCGACTTGTCAGATCTTCCCCGATGATTTTATTGAAGTGTTTTGTAATGCTATAGGAATGCCTGCACAGTCTGCCTCTACTATATAGACAATAGTTTGCTTCTTTGTTTTAAAACCGAAATGGTGTTGCGTAAAAACATTTACCTGGCTATGCCCAGAACAGTCAGGAACAAAAATACCACGGTAACGATTCATAGTCGTGGCCAATGAATATTTAATGCATAACAAATGCTAAAACATTTAATGCATAATAAATACAAGATTTTCAAATGAAAAGCAACGACTTAGAAAAATTCCGGTGATTTCTGTAGGATAATTGGTTCTTGGTCGTTGACTGCGCTGCTCTACCATGTTAAATTCATACCCATTTGGCTTTATGGCGTTTGAGAAAATGTTATAATATTTAAGTTTCAGTGTTATTTCAAAGATTCTGCGAAATAACGTATCTCATGCTCTTCCAGTTCGCCCAAGCATCTCTGCTGCTTCTCCTGCTCGCGGTGAGTCAAAGTCCGGCCAGTGCCAGCGACTACGACGTCTGCCCGAACTTCGTCGACTGCTTTTGTAGTCCTAATGAGAACAGCATCACCACTCCTAGCAAAGAGGGCGCCCTAGAATCTTGTCTGTCTTTCCTACACCAAAAGAAACTTCTTAGGTTCAAGCAACTGGAAATAAAAATGGAAAATAAAAACCTGAGTTTGAGGGAAAACTTACTGAAGGATATTCAATTCGACGAGGTCTTCGTTTACGAGGCAAACATCATTGAATTCAATGAGAACTTTTTGGGTGCTACCCGAGAAACGGTCCAGGATGTCAATATCCTCGGCAGCAACCTCAAAGTTTTTCCAAAGATCAATTCGAGTTCACTGGTGCGTTTGCTGACTCAAGATACCAGTCTTCTGGACATCCCCGGTGACGCCTTCCAGCTCACTCCACAAGTGAAGGTCGGTAGCCAGTGTTTCAGATCGCTTTGAATGTCAACTTAAACACAAATATTGGCAGGACATCAATCTTTCATATCCTAATTTATATAAAATATTTGAATTTTAATTCAATTAGTTATACGAATCAATCAATCAATTAGAATCAACATGGAGCAATACGAAGTTATACGAATCAATTCGTTATACGAATGTGGGTTGAGTTTAACCAAAAGTTTTACACTTCTTTTAAAATGAAAGTACAATTAATTAGATGCGAAAATGCAGAAGGAAGTTTATTTGGTTCACATTTACGAAGTGAACGCAGCAACATGGCTAAATTTAATTGTTGAAAATACAAGACCTTAATTGCAGGAATTTGATTTTGCGGCAAATTTTATTTTGGTACGCATTTTCAGACCTCATTCATTTTGCTTATAAAGTTCAGGGTGGAAGGGTCATGTTCAGATTCATTAAATTATAAAATTGGAAATAATATTTCAAATTAAGCTCGAGGCTTTTGAATTTACTCACTTAGTTCGATTCATTAGGAGCATCCGCTCTATATATTGTTGCCGGGAAGAAAGTAACTCTCAATACGACTTGACATGGGTCACTCAATTAGTTGTTCTATTATATTCAATTATCTCCTCAATTCCCTAAAGGAAATCAAGATAATTAGCACTCAGCCCAAGCTGACCATCAACTCGGGGGCGTTGGAGCCACTCACTCACCTGGAGACGTTCTACCTCCGAGGCGTACAAGCGCTCCATCTCGCCAAAAACGCCGCCAAAATTTCTTCTGCAGCCTTCAAGCTCTTCGATGCCTGGGGCACTCTGAGCGCTGAACCTGGTGCCTTCTCAGGTACCGAAGATTTGGAACTATTTTATCTATTTACGTATAGTAATCTTTCGATGGAATACATCAGATTTTAGGTAGTTCATTTCCATCTCTTAACTAATATTGTTATTTTATCCAAAATAATTGGCTTTGGCAAAATTGGCAAAATAATCTGGCACATTACCACATTTGCGAGATGTGTCGATGATTGAAGTCACTATTGTTATTTAAAAATCATCATTAGGTTCAAGATAGATGAAATTCACGAAACTGAGTTCCAAGGCATCAAAATAGAGAAAGCCTGTATAAAAATCAAAAGTCAAATGTTAGTCGTACAAAAAGGAAATTAAATTAATATACTAATGCTGATTCATTGAAACTAATTCTTACTCATTTATCTGAGCTGCATTCCTTGCGTAGGAAAACTAACCACTTATTCCTGTCTCTGCACAGGCTTCACAAGTGGAAGTGCGCTGAACATGGAGAAATACGACGGGCTGTGGAGCCGCGACATCTTCTACGATCTGCTCGCTGCCGGCGCTACGATTAGCACGCGTGACGGTGAGAAAATAATCATAGCCGATCATTTAATCCTGCGCAAATAAATCAAATTAACCGATCATCGTCACCAGCTCAAACCCGTTGTAAAAGTTTTGAAAAAAAATTATTAATTTAAATTTGAAATTTTCTTGGAATTATGACTGAGTCACGAATCGTTACCGTGATTTTCTGGACTATAGGATTTCGTCTATTAATTATGTTTGCTCTGCATACTTAATAGATACGTCATAAGTGTTACCGAAATGCTGAAGGTGACATATTAGGAATACAAATTTGAATTTCTCAGAAAATGAAGGTCAAACTGGGCAATTTTTCTTAACCCCGTTAAACAAACAGTGATCACTGCAGTAACAATTCACTCTTCGTTCTCTTTACAGCTCAACCTTGTGATTGTGACTTCGCCTGGATCAGGCACAGCAACTTCCTACCTCAAGTCGAAAAGGTCCGTTGCCACGGTCACACCTACCCTGTCTCACCATCGTCGATGAACTTCTCGACTTGCCCCATCTGAGATCTCGACCAGACCATGCTTGAAAACTGCTACCGAGTAGCTCGTTCTTTAATATAAAGCAATATACTCGGGTTGAATTAATTTATTTCAATGAACTCCATCACAGAAAGTACATCAAATCGGTGACGACAAACCAAAGTTCGTCTTCTACATAAAGTCACATTTACTTCACTTCTTTCATAATGCTCCTCAATTAATCTTACACAAATAAAGAATTTAACGTATGAATTTAGCATCACTGAAAAATCTCAAAGAATTTCCTTAATGGTGATGAAGTATCTACGAATAGTGATCATTTCAAGCCGTCACTGCGCCTGTATGAAAAATTTACTCATTTAATGCTTAAAGGGATTTTGCAGACAGTTGAGTGGCAGAGTTTAGTTACCTTGCTTTAGGTTTTTTTTATATACGTTTTGAGAAGGGATTTTCCGGTTAGTTTAGTTAAATTGTTTTAGAAATATTTATATATACGTTTGGAGGAGGGATTTTCTGGTTGGTTTAGCTACCTTGTTTTAGAATTATTTTTGTATTCGCTTGGAGGAGGCATTTTCTGGACTATAGGATTATGTTTGCTCTGCATGCTTAAGCTTCATTTTAGATTTTCGTTTCGCAGCGCTCGTTCCTTATTTTCAACAATATTAATCCGAAATACTAACGTATATTTTATTATTATTATTTTCCTTCGTGTAATTTCAGATGAACAAAATTGAGCTCCTTTGTAAATTGTTGCAATCCCGCTTTTTCACTTGCGCGTTTAAAACGACACCATGTTAGAGACCGCTAGAGGCACGACGCCCAGTAAGATCATAACTTCTTAAAAACATTACCAGTGAATTGTTTCCCTGCTTCTGGTTGATAGAAATTACTCAATAAAACAACCCCAGAATCTATGTCTTTTCTTGTGTGTGTAAGTAGGCTTCAAAATGTACTTATGTACATTTGACTGTAGTGAGTAAAATACGACCTACTTTCGAACTTTTAAAGCGAACATCTTGCGTTTCATCATGGAAGCAGAGTTGCATTTCACGAGGCATGACTGCTCATTAAAACTGTTAGATTTGTGTGAGGATTGCGGCCAAAGCGACTTGGGTTACACGTAACAGCTGGATCTTTGCGAACAGCTTGCTCTAACTAAATAGGTTGCAAAACTGCAGCAAAAATTATTTCTTAGAAAAGCTTTTCAACGGAATATTTTCTCAGTTGATACGGAGTCAATAATAGTTGTAATTTATCAGGCTATGTTCGCAAGGAAAGGATCTATTATAGTCTCGAGTTTTTCATGGTGTGGTAGGTACTGAAGCAACCAGGTTAAGTAAAACGAAAACTGTATACAGAAAGCTTTCAGAAGAATACCTGGATAAATAATGTGTTTCGATGAATTTAACGTTTGTTGTATAGCATATTCAATGATGATCGCGTGCTTTATATCTGTAAATACGAAAAGAATACATGAGCGTACTGTAGATTGAACAATGAGCATGTCACTAAAATTTTGTTATATATTAATTATACGAGCCTATCCTGCTAAATGAGGACATTTTACCTTTTCAAACTTTCTATTAGGGTTAATTTATATCAAGTTTATCTATATCCTAGAAGTGAAAAGTTTTATTGTTTTTAAACTTAAAAAATACCTGCCCGATAGAAGGGAAACACCGAAGAAGGCGTATTGATTGAGTAACCGGCGTGAGCTTTGGGCGCGTCCCGTAACACCTCACCCGCCGAGCCGTGGCCAGCAGGAAACACGTGGCCGATGCTCTCACATGAGGCGGAATATCATTTCACTTGCAACTTCCTGTTAATAGCTTTGAGTAATATATATAAATGAGAACTTTATTATAATAAGGAAAATATCGACAAGTTACTATTAGCGAGATTACAATGTGTTGTACATGGTGCAAAATCTATGATCGATATTACAAAACTCGGGCGTCAAGCGCATACTCTTCTCTTAGCACCAATTAAACGTGTTCCCAAAAATTTATGGGAACTGTGCGTTGTTGCAAACGTTAGTTCCTATTATTCTGAAAAACAATACGATGCAAGTTATTTAGTGGAATTCATGGGTGATGAAGCAAAAATAATTGCTATAGTAATTGTGACATTCATAAGTGCTCAAAATAATGTGAACGGATCTCAAATGTTGTTCTTAAGATGCGCAGTTCGATATCAAATGAACGTAAATTTGAATTAGTTAAATTTGTCGAATTATAAATATTTAATATACTGTTTCGTTATCAATCAGTCATAAATAATTCTTTGAGTAATCCATATGAGAGCAGTGACAACCACAGTCTTATCACTGTACGCGGCATTCCAGGTTATGACTTTCTATTGACGCCCGGCAGCCACGGTGTCGTCATTGCTCGCTAGCTCATGTCCACAGCTTAGTCACGCCAGCGTGTCAAGGCTGCCGGAACTTCCGACTAACCTTTCGAACCGGAGGTCGTTAAAGGCAAGAAAGGCAAGTCCTTAATGCTTGGAGATACCTAGTATCGTGTATGCTCTACTACTGCTCTAGATATCAAGCTACGGCGCGCAATATGAATACGTAAATCTAGGACATTAGTTTTCGTGAGGATGTTACTCGTGTAATTCCTGAAACCTATTAAGATATATAAATGATATAAGATTAAATATGAAATTGGTAATCTAACCCTTTGCCTACCGGGAAATTAATCGTTGTCAATTTAATCTGCGTTAAGTCCTGCGTTACAGAAGTAATCGTCGATAAATAAATGGTTGAAGCTGATAAATAAATATTGAGGCGATTAATGCGGATGTATTAAAAAATAAATTTAAATAGCTCGTAGATGCACGTTAGAAAATACGAGAATGTTCACTATAGGAACTAAATTCCCAAAGAAAATATTAATACTTTGATCGAGAAAAACTAGGATGGAGTATTTTAAGAATATATTAACAAATTTAAGCAGGAATGAAATATGAACGTTGTTTAGAAATGACATATTTTTAAAAGTATGGCATGATTCAAAAATAATAAAATCTGAGGCACAGTAGGTAGAGGCTTGAATATCTAAATCGTTGGCGTGCCCCGCTACTTCTCAATGTTCAATGTAAAGTCACACAGCTGAATGTGCGCAAGTAGGTTCCTTGTACGATAACTCCTACCATTATGCTCAGCCAATCTGATGTATGCGCATGCTGATGCGCACTAAGCACAATTGTACTAGAAAACCATTGAGACCCACATCTTAGTAGAAAGAACATTCTTATACCTGAAGAATAACTTCAATCAAGTTAGAATCCTGGAGTTTGATTTTGAAAAAGAAACAATTTTCAAATATTTTGATCAATAATTATGCTAGATAAAATTCGGAAAATATTCAATGAATTGTACTTTAGAGTCTTTGCCCTTTTTCCGAAATAGAGCTAAAAAGCTAGACGGCAATAAATAATTTTTATGCTATCACCCTCGTATCAGGAACAATTGCAGAGTAATGGTTAGAGATGAACTTCTTTATTTTAATAAACACAAGGTTTGGCGGGAACAGATTCAGCGGAAAATTATTTTGCAAAAATTGAATGTATAAATCACATATATTTTAAATCTAAATGATCAGAAGTCATAATTTTTTTTTAATATTTCTCTGCCAATAAGAAGGAGTTCAAAACTGATAAATTCAGAAGATAATTTATTAAAGCTGCGGTCGAAGCCAATGACGAAATCATTCAAATCCGGTACAAAAAGTTGATGTAAAGATCAACGTTTAAGAAGGAAACAGAAACGTTTATGACATTTTATTTGGTTCTGAATTATTGACGAAATTGTAATTTAACAGTAAAATTATTTAAATACTTTACGATGCTGCAACTAAACCAGCCCATTCAATGATCTTAATACTGCTCAGTGCAGTACTGCTCAAGTTAATCCAATAACAATTATACTAAACAATGTTCTAAGCAATCCAGTGATATTAATACTCAGCATACATGTAATTTTTGCAGCCAATTTATATCTTACTTTCAACAGAACGGAACACTAGCTACCTTCAGCTCGCATTCCTGATCACTATCCACACATGACTGTCATTAACGATTAATTAATGACAGAGAAATTCAACTACTACATAGTATGCACTTACTAGATTATTTGTCCAAGCTAGATTTCCGTATATCATTTGCCGTTCAGCTGAACGTTTTCATTTTTTCTGTATATATTCAAGTGAGTCAAATGTGGGAATTGAAATATTCATACAAATATAATAAAATGTATGATATTTTTATTAATACTATATTCCTTATAATATATATTAATACTAATAGATTACCAGGCTCATTTGAATCATAGAGGTCGAAGATAAAGCAAGTTGTGATGGTGTAATACGTGTTGAATGTTGTTTGCATCTCAGTCGGCGGAGGTTGCTCAGCGTACGTGGCCGCTCCGACTTAGTCGAGTTCGAGCTCCCGTACTGCATGTCCAGTTTTGTCCACGAATCCTCTCGCAGGTGACCGTAAGCTCTAAGATTACCTATATTTATTCGGGATCCACATTTAGTGTGATTAAACTATTTATGTTTTATTGTTGTTTATCTGATGGTCAAAAGATAATGACTTGTTCGTGTGTGGCTGAACACTGAGCAGAAATTGCCTAAGCCAGGATAAGGAGTGCATATTTTTTTATCTGTACGGGATTCGAACCAATATTCGTGTTATTTTATCCTTAAGTTTTAACATGATACAAAATGATCTATGAAGAAAGCTGTGTGAGGTTTATTATCTCATCATAGATACCAAATCCAGGTTAAAATTGTAAAATGGGGAAAGACTTGATGATAGATGGCATAAAAAATCTCATGAATTTAAATGTTTTCGTATATTACTGTTTTTATCATGTACACCGTATGTATCGATTCATATCCTATAAGCAAAATGCAAGCTCGTCAATGTAAACCTTAATTTTGTTAATTAAGGTCTGATGGATGCTGAATTCTGCATAGAATATGCTTTGTCACAGCTTTCCAATTTAATGTACTTTTATCTAATCCGTGAATAGTTATGCATTGTCATGCTCATTTAAGTTTATCCAATGTTACGTGATGCTCCTAGAAATAGAGGCCACGTACCCGCTATGTTACCACCTGTTGAGGAGGTCGCGGCCGCGCCATGCCGCTGGTTCGGTTGGCACGTAGTCTTCAGTACGCGTTGGTGCGCCTATGAGGTGGGATGTGTGGTCCAAGTAGTCCCAGTGATCCAGCCGGGGTAACGACCCAATATTTGAGAAAGTCAAGAGCGATTTTTCCTTGAAAGTGTAACGTCTTATTACAGGATCCAAGTGCATTATATCGTGCTTCTATTTTAATTTATGTGGTTATTTGGTTGAAAAATTTAATTTGGAATCCAAATTAGGAAATCTGTTAGTTACCTAAACGTCATCCGCATCTATGTACTATGATTGAATGAAAACTTTATTTCATTTCGTTAGTTTCTACATCAGTGCATAAACTATGTTGCTTTTTACATGGAGATTTGCTATTTCATCTTGTAGAATGATAGGCGATCCAGATGGCCGTATAGTTTTACTGAAAGCCAAAGAACTAAATTTGTAAACGATCTTCTCTTTGCATCGTTGACCTTCAAATGTAACAACTGCTAAACTGATTTCATTTCAAAAATTTAAATCGAATCTTCTTAGTCTAATCAGTCTGTTGTTGCCGTATTTTGGACAGCATATATATAATGTAAGTATGTTTACCTACTTAGCCTTTTATTTCGTGTCCATATTCTATATTTATAAGTGTGTTATTAGAAATTTTTAATTTCTTTTTTTGACTCATCAAATCAGCTGCAGAAAAAAATCGATGAGATCGGATTTTAGTGCATGTGTTATAATTTATTATCTAATTATATCATTGTTTATAGGTACGCCTATCGTTAGGCTCGTGTTAGGAGGCGAAGTCGAAGCACATTAAGCCTACCTAGGTAGATCGTAATTTTTGGTATTTAAACCTTGCTTCTGTGGTTTGTGACCTGTGGTGCCCTGTTACTGCACTCGGCTAAGATTGCTTCTCTTTAACTTAATTTGAGTTAGTGCGACTGTGTTCTCATTTTGTTTTGTTTAATTAAATGGTATGTTCGCTCATCTCTCTGCGTTAGTTTAGGTCTTCATCATACTGAATTTACTCCAGTGTATGGTTGAGACTTGAGCCCCTTTAGGTTGTGCAGTTCCGTGGAGCTTCTGGACTTCAATTAACCTAACTTCTACTAGCCTCAGAGCTTGGCTTTGCCTTCCCATGCCTGCATGCCCTTATTTGACACCTGTGAGTACGATCGAACTCGCTCTGTATTATTTTCCATTTTTTCTTTCTTATATTTCTCAATGCGAACTCTAGTCTAGGGTTCCTCAACGGAAACAAATAGGTAGGTTAGTTATTTTGATTATTGTTCGAATTTTATTTGCTCATAATTTTTTGAAATGCTTTGCGTTATACCTAAAATTAATTGCAAGATAAGTTCCAACTTCTTATCTGTTTTTTGTCTTTCTTATTATTTTTGTGTCTTGAATTCACCCAATCTTCGTAATGTGCAGCTTGAACCTCAAACCTATCCGCTTACATCTTTGTAAGCGGCTACTAAATTTTATTCTGTAACCCGCGTTTTAGTGAAGAGGATCGAGAAGAAACATTTAATGAAAAGTGTGCCACTTTATTCAGCTTTAGCTTTTTTTTGGACTTCTGATGTTTGGGCGAATTTTAATTCGCGTTGAAGTGACTTAACACCTCTGAGTTCGAATATTGTTATATTAACTACTTATCTCTGTAACTGTACTAATGTCAGTGATATTTTCTGAAGTGCGAACAACTACCAATTTTATTTTTTCATACTCGTACTATTTTTTCATAATACCAAGTTTATTTTTTTTTTCATTCTTTCAAACATCAACTTCGTTTGGCGTTACACAAAAGATTCCTCGCTGCATCTACATCTTTTATTTCCAATTGTACCAAATTTCAGTACGTGAAATTTATAGCAAATCTATACAAACAAGGCGAGCTTTATTCTCTCATTTTCGCTCCTCCTCTTCGTTAGTTTGATTTCGACTCAAAACAACTTGAGAAATAAAAAATTTCTTTTATTTCGGAAAAGCTTGAAATGATATGCGAAAAGCTGGGGGTTATAAAAGTTTGTTTTCTTAATTTTTGTCTGATGTTTTTTAATTGATATATTTTTTTTACTGCACTCTTTCTTCAGTTTTCCGTTAAATACTCATTAGTTTGTGCATTTGAGATTTTACGTCTTCTTACAGTAGCGGATAAAGTAAGTCATTGTGATGGCAACAAGTCACTAGCAGTGCGCCACTGCCCTATACTAAAGAACATAATAATCCATGAGTTAGGATGACCGGTTAGACCGTAGCAGCGCAGCAAGTATCAGGTCACGCTTGCAGGATCACGCCAAGTGCTGTAGTTCGAGTCGTAATATTTGCTCCATATAATAGGGGACTTTCACAATTTTTCCCCGCATGCTATTTTGCACTGCGACGTGGGGTGACACGTGTCGATGATAGATATCGCCATTAAATGTACACTTGGAATTAACGAGTCGTGCTCTGAGAGCTGCAGTGGACGGAGTTTAACCTCTGCGCCACTAGCTGCACATTTATCGCGTCTACACTACTAGCCAGCCTAGCCTACATAAAAATGATAAAATACCAAGCCTAGACAATATACTAGCCTCCATATTAAACTAGGCTCGGCATTACTCGTATTCACACTGCTGGCCACGACACTACTTGTGGCATAATTTTACAAACTGTGTTAAAAGTCAGTCAAAATATCTGAAGTCGCCTCGAAATCCGAGAGACAGCGAGAATAATCTCATTGGCCCTCGCACATCGTTTGTTCTCGAAAATTATTCCCCGAGGCCATGTAATTGTCTGAAATTTGCTCTACGGGAACCATGACTAGCATATGCTCTACTTATTACGGTTCACTCCACCCGATTTTCTTTGACTCGGTTGAAGGAAGTGAGGCTATTTATATTTAGAGCGAACTGCTTCTACCTAATCAATACCGGATTCTTGCATCCGCCTTACCATCGCTTTCACTTGCACTTCGGCGTTGCTTTATCCCTGGCTAATTTATAAGTAATTTATTTAATCGCGTGTAATTCTATTGCACATATCAGCGTTGTAATTCGTTTAGGAGTAAATTTCATTTCCTAGGAACGAAACTGCGTGTTGTATCATTTTATTTGGTTTCCTCTCGGGTGTGTAGTGTGGGCTTGATGATGACATACGATGCTCGAGCAGACCATGTCTGCAATCTCAACGAGGAAATTGCTCTAGAATATGAAAGTGTGCGCATAAGTATATATACACTCTTTGCTATGTATTCGGGTAGTGAAGAAAGTAGAAGTCGTTCGCTGGTCGTGACGGTTGAAAGAATTTAAGCAAATCGTTTATTCAATTGTTTTATGATTAGGCAGGAGAATGCTAACTAAGTAAGGTGGCTAGTGGACAGAATTCAAAGGTTGAAGATTGTAATAAGTGCTCATGAATTAAGAACTGTCTATTGAATGCACGTAAGTCCACCTGATCTTTAGAAGTCATGTTTTCATGTTTTTTTTGAAGGTCATCCCGGGCCTGTAACAATTCTTGCCCACACCCTACGGAAATATCGACGGCAATCATATGCAACGAGAGACGTTATAAATATTATTGGGGAATTTTGACGCATCGACAATACCGATACCATTCTTGTAGACGCTGCAGAATCCTTTTAGAATACCACGTGGAATCCTCATAGACGCGCTCTTATCATCGCAGAATGCCACTTGGATCACGTAATGAGCAAATTAGTGGATATGCTTCTGTGGCTATAAGTTAGTTTTCAACTTTCTCACAGCTCGCCATATTTGGCCATTACTTGCGCTTGACATTGAACCGATTCATTCTCAATTAGGACTAATGCTCGTCCAATGAGGCTTTTTGTATTAAAAAGCGCTACTCATAGTCAGCCGTTTTTGTTCCTTTTGTAATTGCTAGAATAAATTTTCCCGGTAATTTATCGAGTTAATGATTGCCTTAAATTAACCCACCCATTTTGCTCCTGAGCTCAACGGTGGAGATATAGCTTGATATCATTGCATGGAACAATTTTATGTTTTTCGCGTGATTGTGAAATGTTTTAAGAGAAAACGATGATCGGATTAGCTTACCAAGCAGTGGAGGCTGTCCAGTTTCAGAAATAATATTTTAGTTACAGCCTTTGCCAGATTATATTTTTCTACCAGAAGTACCGTTTGTCTGCATCTTATAGCTCGAAATTAATAATTAACTGTCTAATTCGGGTATGTTTGTTAGTTTCTTTGAATCATTTATGCGCACAAATCCCGAGATAATACCTAGTTTAGTCGGTCTGCGAATTGGCCCAGAGATGAATTGTTCTGAGGAAAAACCTGTAAAACAGGCTTATTCTAAATGATTGACAAATTTAATAAATTAGTATTTATAGAAGTATAAATTCAAAATGAACCAACGGAAAAAGAATTTCTTACATTTTTATAAATGTTCAAATGGACTATATTGAACGGCAAATTTCTAAACGGTAGCCAAACTCGTCCCACACACGAGAACGCATATCTTCTGTTAGTGAGTGCATTACAGATGTGATACGGGGTGATCTTTAGCTCAACCAGAGTTGCTGGTAGAGGCGGGACGTAAACAGTTTCCTTGACGTAACCCCATAAAAAATAGTCACAGATCAGGTGATATCTCTGTGGCCAGAACCTATCACTGCTGCAGTGCACTCGGTGCCAGAAGATGGGCGTACTCGTGTGTGGGACGAGTTTGGATACCGTTTAGATGTTTGCCGTGCAGCACAAGGGCGGCATATTGAACATTTATAAATGTGTAAAAAATGGAATCTTTTTCTTGCCATTGATGAAAAATTATTCATTTTAATTTATGCATGATTAGATACGAATTTATTAAATTACCTATGTCAATCATTTAGAATAACCCTGTAGATTTGCGTCTGTAGATTATTTGCCTTAAGCTGTTACCGATAAAAATTGGTGTATCTACATTTTTTAATATTTAAGCTATGGCATAACCAACGTCTACTTCGAAGGTTCCTATGCCTTTATTCCCGTCGTGCCATTCTTCGGTTGATTTTCTAACTTACGTAGTTATTCGGGGATTTTTTTTGTGAACGATTGTATATAAACAAATGACTTAACTATATCATAGACTTCCTTATATTATAGACTCCCTGTACCTTATAAAAAACTGGATTAAAGAACTGCCGCCCGCTATGTGGCCGCCCATAATATGCCTTTAATTTTTAATTAGGCCGGGGACACCTGCGGCGGACGGTAGGAGTGCAATTGGCACGCTGACCTAGAAGAAGATAGCTGCTCCGCCGGTTTCTGGTCGCCACTTCTTGTGCGTCAAGTGAAGAAAGTTTGCTTGGTTCGTGATTCAGATTATTACGAAAGTGCTCAAGAAATTTGCTGCAAGCAATGTTTTACCGTGACTGCAAACGCTATTTATGGATTAAATCTCGAGTTGAGCGTAACTCGGTATTTGCCTCGTGTGACCATGCGAGTGATACAAATATGGATTCAGTTTTGCAGCAGAAAATGTGCACTGGAAATTTATAAAGAGCGTTGAACTGTTTACCTGGCGCTATTTCAATCATTGATTGATTGAGAGTGATGCTTTAGGCTGACATTTGAAGCAAATAGCCTCAAAGACGTTTATAGCATCAGTTGATAAAGAGCTATGGGTCAGACCGTTGAGGCAATTATGGCAATAAACCATGTCCATGCAAGTTGTTGTGTGTGCAAAGAAGCCGTAGCTCACTCAGTTTAATTAATATTTACATTGCGTTCAGGATCGTTTAGTGGAATCCTCAAGCGCACTGGCTCCATGTTGGAAAATAACCATGTTAATATAATCGATCATCATAGAAATTGTGCATCATAGCTTGTTACATTACCAAGTGAGACTAATACTCTGTTTTGGCAGCCTGTGAACTTCAACGCTGCTTCGGTACCTATCCCTGGAAAAATAAGTGATGAAGCTTGAAGTTGATTCGCGTATTAGGATTCCAGAGAATTTCATACCGTCTTCAACGAATCGTAAAAGTACACCAATAAAAAATGGGAATTCCTGCACGAGACTAATCACGACACCGTTTGCAAGTCAGTAAGAAGTTAAGTTTTTCAGTAGCCCAGCCTGTGTCTGTCAATAAATGAATGCAATGCGATTTTCGAGCTTACATCATGCTGTCTTGTCACTAACTGAATACAATGCTATTTTTGAGACGTCATGCTAAATGCGCACCAATTGTCCACTGAAATTTTGGCTCGGTCAAAAATTTGTTCTATAATCCTACGAGTAAAAAAAATAAAGTTCAGCCCTATGGGAGAACCTTAAACTCAACAGATATATTTTTGTTTGTATTTGCTCGAGAAACAGCGAGATTTCTCCGCATTTGCATAATCGGGTGCAAGCAGCTTGGTCTGAGCACATCAATTGCCCCTGACCAATGCGGCGTGGATGCGCAGTGGACCAATTCATGCATTTTGTGTTGGCTTTGTGAGGGAACTTCGGACGAATTTTTGAAACCAGGAAATGTATTTTAGATGTTTATGGTGTTATTTCTATGGTGGGGCAAGTTGCAGTTCGTGGACAGAATGCTAAACCAAGTAGAAACCAATCACAATTTAAAGTTCCTGGCTCGCAGACATTTGATTCAGGGAAGCCCGATGAATATTTAAATGTGCCTCAAGAATTTTCTTCAATGGTTAAAATGTAGAAAAGGAATTCCTGCGCGGTACACGTGTGAATTCTAGAAATTGAGTTTAGTTTGAAAATACTGCTGTAGCCTCACTAACATTTTGCATGTGATTCGGTTATTATTTGTAGAAGGTTTGTTTGTTGGTATCATGTCAAATTAAAAGAAATATAATAGCTTGATACAGTAACTTTTCATAGAATTAATTATCAAATGAGCCATATTAATCACTGGAATCAATAGATAAAGTGAGCATCCACACTTGAGAACTCACAGAATATTCAAAGGACTCTCTCCAGACGCAGAAACGTTAAACGTGAACTCGTAATCGGGCCTGTTCGCTTCGGCTTTGCCCTTTAGAATGTAGTCGAGCGCAGGGCAGCGCGTCTGCCTCAAATGAAGAGACATGTGGTGGTGTCATCACAGCCCCGTTATTGGAACAACATACGGGACTTCGAACTACAACGATCGAGGCGTTCACAGGCCATCATGGCTACGAAACTAGCCATGACGGCTTAGCGACGGAGGTGTATCTTCAATTCTTTAATATTTGTGTTGTTAAGAAATGCCTAATCGCGTGGCTTGGGAGTAAGCTAATTAGAGCGCTGTGGGCACGTACCTAACTTCCATTGCCGGGTCTGCGGTATTCCACTTTCTCCACATACTTCTGGAGCCCAACCTGTGCACGGCTGAAGGAAGCAGCGACTGTTCCTTCAACAGGAATAATCCGTTTGCGTTGACACTCGTTGCGGATGTTTGTTCAGTACCCGTCTTGCTTACATGGGTTCTTTCGAAGGTTTGAAGAGTGGCTGTATATCGGGATTCAAGTGACGAAATAAAGGACAGCAAATATGCAAGGATACACCATTACTCTTTCTTATCGAGTTATTCGCCGAAATTACATCTATTTTTTTTTAAAGACGAACTTTAAACCGCATTAAATTTTATCAAAAATTGAAAAGATTTGTTCTAGTCCAATTACGATGTATCAAGAGGCTTCTGAATGGACATTGACATACAATTAGTGAGCTTTGCATTGAGCACTATATGATAAATTGCTATGCACGCTAAGTAATCACTGTCAGATAAATCGCTTTTTACCTTCGAACTCGGGATTCCAGCTCGTTTTTCGATTCAATGTTACTTTAACATAGCGACAAAATACGTAATACATGATTTAGGAATTTTTTATACTATCTAAAGTGATTTAAGACAAGTTACCTCGAAGTCAAATGACCACCAACTACATTCATTGAATGAGATTACTCCAATCTTTGTTCATCGACTTCACCAGAATTTTGAAAGTTACATCGAAAAATATTCCATCTGAGAGGAGTGATGGCAATAGCCGGCATTGTAAGTTCCAGGTGCTCAATGCTCGGGCGTTGCTCGAGCAGCGCATTCACTCAGGCCTCCGAGTCATGTTTAATCACCGCGCCATGGTTAGGTTAACGGTCGGCTAGGCCCTGTTGATTTTACCTCTCATGTTTACTCTGTGCAAACACGGGAGGCTTTTACCGGGAGAAAACTTGAAGAATGTCTTAAGAATGAATTTTCCTCCACACGCAATGAAAGTCGCTCAGTATGCTGTGTATGTGGGGCAGGCTGCTAGCCCGTACGTGCACCATTATCATTTCGTTCACGGGAAGTCTTCACACAATGAGAGTGAAATGAGGTGCCTTTGAGATGCATGATGCTTGGTTTTTCAGTCTCCATCATACAATGCTTTACTTTCGCTCTTGAAGTTTTAAAGTTTTCGCTTGAAGTCGTGATTTGCGGTGCGAATGCAATCGTTTGTTCCCAGCGTGTGCCCAATAGTTTTGTCGCTATTAGATCGCATTTTATTCCGAACAACATCTTTGTTTTTTATAAGGGATTTATGATGTTAATGGTCGTTTGATTATTATGAGTAGGTGTTCGTTCTACTTGCCGAGAAAATGGGAGCTTTTGTTGTAATTCATTATTTTTTTTGTATTTTATTTAAATTCATTCTTACCCAATCAATCTGATGTTTTTTTAATGTTTTCAGATGGTGGCAAGATGAAGCGCTCGTGGTTATTGACTGTGTAAACCGTATTCCCGGTTCGGATCAGAATGAAATTCCGACTTTCATCACCTGAAAAAATACAACTGCAAGTACCGTAGTCGACGAGAAAGAAACTGCCTGCAAAAAGTTTTGTGGTAAACTTCGTGGATTGGAGTTGTTATTGAAAAATCGAATTTAACATAGAAATTTTTTAATTTTCCAAGAAATGATCAACTTACACAATTTCGGGAAGGAAATCTACGATTTTTGAACTTGTGAAACGTAGTTGAAAGTGGAGCTTCACACGCACGCCGCGTGAATTCAGTGTGCAGTGATAGTTTCTGTGTAATCATATTCAAATTGTCTAAAATAATAAATAAAGTGAGTGTTTAGTGCGCATCTAGTCACGTTCGCCGAACTCTAGTTCATTACTTGATCATTGAAATTATCCAATTTGTGCTGTACTAGGTTTCCCCTTGCTGCTCAAGACGCCTAGTCCTGCTTTGCTGATTTTGAGCTAATTCTAAATATCGATCGGCGTAGCTTGTTGGATTTAGTGTGAAGTTCACTTATAAATTCACTACTCCTGCACTTCTCGCATCCAAAAACCTACTCTGATCATCAGAACTATTCTCCCGAGTTTGGATATAACCTTTGCACAAGTTATTTCTATTCAAAAGACAAATTTTAAAAATTTAGGTAATTTATAAGTTAGGTCAGAAGTGTTGTGGTGGCAATCATGTCGCTGGTTATGAAGCTACTGGAGCCACTCCAGTTTGGGCATTTCTACCCCGAGTTTTGGTTCGTTCCCGCACTCATCGTCGCGTCTATCTGGCGGACCTACCTCATGAAGGACCCCACGCCACGCCTCGTCAACGAGAGAAACCCCCGCTCCGAGTACGACTTCGTCATCAGTGAGTCTTTAATTCCTTTATTTTAAGTCCTATTATGATGGAATTTTGCGATACTGTGTTCGACTTCGTCGTCAGTGAGTCTTTAATTCCTTTATTTGAAGTTCAATTATGATGAAATCTCGCGGTACGGTCTACGACTTCATCAGTGAGTCTTTAATTCCTTTATTTGAAGTCCTATTAAGCTGGAATTTCGCGACACGGTACGAGAGCCGAAAGGCGATGTCCCATCTTCTATTGTTTTCTTTTTACTGCCTATTCCTTGACGCATCCTGAAATTTTTTTCAAATTCATATGAAGTGAATTTCTTTCGTTTGCTTCGTTTTCTGATGAGTATTTACTTTGAAGTAAAAGTTTTATCATTTTGTTCTGTAACTTTATTTTATATTCTACCCATAGTTTAAGTGAAGTGTCTCGAACATAATTTTTCCGTATGCTCTTCTTACTGTTTTTTTTTCTGAAACAGTTTGTGTTGCACAGTTTCAGTCTGTGGGCAATTCTCACTGTACGTTGCATTCTCATCACTCGACTTCCGTACTCTAATATCAGATCTTTGAATCGCTTCGCTCCAGCTTTCTAAGACAATTTAATCTGCTAAAAGTTTTTTGGCATTGATTTCTGCAGCGTTAGGAACCTGTTGCGTTAAAGTGGCGCTGCCAGCGTCTCTTTAGTGTCTTGGTGCCGACACGTTGAGCTCACGACTAAGCGCTGATTCCTATTAGACTTTTTTTCCTCCGAACTCAAAATAAGCTTATGGTATCCTTTTTTTTATTAGTTCTACGTTCCTTGATATCAGGCTTGAACTTGGCGTCCGTTAAACGTAAAGATTGCTATAACTTTATTGGTTTTAATATATGTTTATGGCATTTGAGGCAACTGCCAAATTTGGTTGGCTTTTAAACATTTGGAAAAATAATTTAACTTTAGTTCTTAACATGAAGCATCCGGATGAATTTATCAGGTTTGTCAAAACCTGCCTGCGATTAGACCTCTACCATCCTATACGAAGTGCGTCTGGCAAAGCAGTCGAGCGTGCCGTTTCATTTTATGAACTCGGCATGCATGATCAATTCTTTCTTTCATGATTGTGCGAGTCATACAAGTTTCCAACTAGTTTCGATCGCCTGCGCATGCGGGTGCCAGCTCTGATGCGTCGGCCGCGGGACTGCAGTGCGTTTTCACTGAAAGATCTTGCTGGCCGAGTTCATTATGAGTCAGTCGTATCTGTATCGGCTGTGGTCCACGAAACTGATTTATAAAACTAGCTCATGAAGTTGATTTGCTGCTATAGTGGTTTAAAATTGAATTCACGTCTCTATAAATAGCAGTATCAGTATCAGTATCGACTGAGAAAAGTGTGTTATCTTAAAATTTGTCATGCGTGATTACCAAACACAATTACTGGTGTTTAGAGCAATTGTCCTGGTTGTACTGCTCGTACTCATGTTTATTGCATGCATCTTATACATAATATACTTCGCGTATCATTGACTTGCCATAATTTTTCATTGGAAATGCTGTAAGAAATTGCGTGCTGTGCACAGCGAAGTATTTATGTTGGACGAGCCTCGCCAGTCTTGACGATCGTTTCCGGCGTTTAGAGTTTTCGTTTTTTATTCCACTTGAATCTACACGAATATAGTCTATTATTTTCAATTCTTAACCCCTCACAATCTAGATCATTTTTTGTTCAGTTATACATTTTGTAGTGGGTGATTTCTTTTATGATTAATAGAATTAATTAAAAGAGTCCAGAAGTTGGTCATCGTGTTCAATTGGCGAAGCAAGGTGCATCTGCCGCGGGTAAGCGGGTCACAAGACCAACGAGTCATCCTCTATTTTGACGAGTCTTTGTTGTCGCTATCGCAAAAATGCATTATTTAGCTTGAATAGCTTAACGCTTCAACGCACCTTATGAATTACGCGCTTTAACTGCGCATATGCACCTGCTGTGCTTCAATACAAGCTAGGAGCTTTCCCTTTTTAAATTATTTCTTTTAGGCTAACTTCGAATACGAAATCTCGTTTAATATCAACTTGATTTATTGTAACCCCAATGCATTATCTAGTAATGAGTGTGGCACAAATGGCAGGTTTACTAACTTACCTTACTAAAGAATCGGCAATGTCGAGCCTATGGTAAAAGGTGCAGCTAATTGAAGCCGTGTTATAAGGCTGACCCCATAGGTATGCTGCATACTTACAACGTACGCGCACAGCTTACGTATGATGCATGCAACTTACCTCTTTTCTACGACAGAACAACAGAATAACCTCTTTTCTATGCACCCGTACCACGCATGTCTCAACCTATCTGTACCCGTCCCTTGCTAGAGTCTGCCTCATATACACTTCCTGCCTCATACACTTCCCACCAGCAAGAGTCTGCCTCGTATACACTCCTCACCAGCACGAGTCTGCCTCGTATACACCCGCCACCAGCACGCGTCTGCCTCCTATACACTCGCTACCAGCACGAGTCTGCCTCCTATACACCCGCCACCAGCACGAGTCTGCCTCCTATACACCCGCCACCAGCACGAGTCTGCCTCCTATAAACCCGCCACCAGCACGCGTCTGCCTCCTATACACTCGCCATCAGCATGAGTCTGCCTCGTATACACTTGCCACCAGCATGAGTCTGCCTCGTATACACTTGCCACCAGCATGAGTCTGCCTCGTATACACTTGCCACCAGCATGAGTCTGACCAGCATGAGTCTGTCTCGTATACACTTGCCACCAGCATGAGTCTGCCTCGTATACACTTGCCACCAGCATGAGTCTGTCTCGTATACACTTGCCGCCAGCACGAGTCTGGCTCGTATACACTCGCCACCAGCATGAGTCTGCCTCCTATACACTCGCCACCAGCAACAGTCTGCCTCCTATACACCCGCCACCAGCACGCGTCTGCCTCCTATACACTCGCCACCAGCACGAGTCTGCCTCATATACACTCGCCACCAGCAACAGTCTGCCTCCTATACACTCGCGTCCAGCAAGAGTCTGCCTCCTCAACACCCGCCCCAGCAAGAGTCTGCCTCCTCAACACCCGCCCCAGCTAGAGTCTGCCTCCTCAACACCCGCCCCAGCTAGAGTCTGCCTCCTCAACACCCGCCCCAGCTAGAGTCTGCCTCCTCAACTCCCGTGTCCAGCAAGAGTCTGCCTCATTGGAACCAAGAAATGACTGCAGTCTCACAAAACGCAGAGCACTGTAATTTTTATTCCCACTCGCACGACCGCGTGTTTCCAATTACGAAGCCCAAGCGTCGAAGAGAATCCGCCATCGAACTTGGTGATGGCTCTGCACTTTTCAGTTCGTGGGGTCAGCATTTCATGGGAAGGAATGCAGACGGACTTCGTATAATGCTTGACTTTCTGCCTCAGGCATACGCAATCAACCGTTTCATCCTCACGATATGGATGTAAAGGCGCGTCATGTAACAGTTTTCTTTTTACGAGCATCATTGATAGAATTTATTGCAGTTAGCGCCTCATTAGAGTCTCTCTGTGATTGCTGGCAGATCATTAAATTCCGTTTCATTTTCAGTTCGTTTCGGATTGCCGAGCAAGAATGAATTAATTTTGCCACGTTATAAGCCAAATTGTTGCGACACCAGTGTGATGGATTTTATTACCAATATAAGTTGAAATGTAATTATTCGAATAAGTTATGGGGAAAACTGTGTCGCATCTCGTAGCGTTTGAATGGCAGGAAGCAAATTATCTCGGCCACCTTCACTAGTGACATCTTCCTGCTCGACTCAATTGCCTTGTGTTATCCCAGCTTTTTTCCTGTCCAACGCTGAGTGTCATATATGCATGTTCTGCCTTGTCAACTGCGAAACTAATTAAAGAACAGACTCTCCAGCTATCAGCTGCCTCGCCCGTTAATGTATCTCAGTTCTATGGACTTGTCAACACCGATCAGCCCTTTATTTCTCGTTACTCAGTTTTACGGACTTGTTAACACCGATCACCGCTCGACTTTTTCAGTGAACCGCCGTGGATTCCGTGATTATTTGCGAAAGAAATCTCCCATCTCAATGTTAATTTTATTCATCGGAGGAACTCAGATGCCTCCTCACAAAATTCCGAATAGTATTGCTAAAAAATGTCTCTCATTGGCTCATGCTATTCTCAGAATCTAGCATTAATTTTTCGGTGTCAAGATAATTGTTTCGTCACAAAACGTTCATCAGTGCCTCGTTGTACTTTCTTATTTAAATATAATTGAAACAGTCTTTTACACGCGTGGAAACTCGTTACACCATTGGAAGCTTCATGTATTCACGAGCGCCTGGATCTACAATTCTACACCATTCCCACTATTCCTGAGATTACCCAAAAGCGTCTTTGGCGCTTGCAGTACGGGTGTTGTGGTCCGGCACCCGTGCCTAGTTGGGCGTGTGGTGCGGTCTACCATTCAAGCAGTTTTTAATTTATGGCTGCGGGATGCATGGTGCCGCAGGCTCGCTGGTTGTATTCTTCCTTTTCTTTGGCTCCACGTGCCATACCTCATATTCACTGACGGCATTTGCGACACGGAAATTATTCCATTGAAGAACGGGAACTGCATTGGAAAAGATGGCGTGATGAGGCTTCAAGCGCTGAAGAGCAGGGTACTGTATTAATAAGGATGACGATCAAAGGCTTCAAGTGGTGAAAAACTGAGCACTGTATTTGAAAGGATGGTATGTAATTGCTTCAGTGGAAGCAACATATGAAAACAACTATAGCGAATAGGGCACGGCAATGCTGAATGGATGAAACATTGGAGAACAACAGTACAGTCGAAGAGATACTTTAGCGAGATCAGTAACAATAATTTAGGGCAAGAATGGAAACTTGTCAGTAAAATTTTTACGTGGCAAATAACAATCCCGTCTTACTTTCTTTTAGTAGGGAGCAATCAGTCTTAGGCACAATTGCATTCCACAGTAAGGTAGTGAAAAACACAAGGAAAATGTCTATTAGGGTGTGAGGTGCAATTAGGTGTGA